CATTACATTGTAGACTGAAATTGCATTTCAATAAAGTTATAAAATTTTGAAAAATTTGCACAGAGTGTTGCAAGACTTTCTTTCCAACCCAATATTATCCCTACGATGCATTTGACTTGCACTTTGACTCGTTATTTCCATATTTGACATGGAAAATCTATATTTTTTGCTTAACCACATTTATGTGAAAAGTTTCCCATCCTTCTATGAAGCAAGCATCTCTTCTTTCATTATTGATGTAGCATAAGCCACTTTCCGTTGGAAATATCAGAGGCTGAATGTCCCTACTTTTATTTCTTTTGCAGCTGGTTGTGTGAACTTACCCCAGGGCTTGGAACCAACTGTGGAAAATGTATGTCGACGTCTAGAGGAGAATCAGGAGCTCATCACATTGTTTTCAGAGAATCCAGTTCCAAAGAACTGTCGCTCTAGTCTGGAGGGAGTGTGGCACTTTGCATATCAGAATCGATATAGATTCACAGGTGAATGCAATCATGCAGATGCCCGGATTTCCTCCTGTCAAGCTCCAGGAACTCAATTTCTAATTGAAAATCAAAAGTTCAATATCTCATACAGAAATTGCATTGGCATGCAAGGAACTTTTGATGGAGGTCAGTCCATGTCCCTTTCTGGCAGATTTTCATTCTCATACCCTTTATTTCCTGATTTCCATCGTGACATCTGGATTTCCTCACAAACAGTTGTCGAGTACAGTTGTCTAGGGGACTGGTTTGTGGGCAAAAATCACTTCTTTGCTGTGGTGAATACCAAGGAATCACGAAAGGATGAAAAGTATCGTTGTTTCTTGAAGAATCGAGATGATGATCTTTACATTGGAGTCTCAATCACAGCAGAATGCAACATCCTAAAGTCTCCTGAGGGAAGCCCTGAAAGAATGCGACTTACCCCAGGTACCGTGCCTTTTGGCTACTGATTATCTCAATTTTTTAAATACAGGGTGGCATAAAAGTCCCACCCCATAGAGAAAATATATTGTTTTCTTTCCAGGTAAGTGATGGCTGCAAAATTAATGCAAGACAAGGGAGTGAGCTTGGTTTTAATGCTTGGAAGGCAAGGTACTTCAAATCTATCAATTATTATAGATTATCGAATCTATTTTTTTAATTAAAAATCCCTATGGGGCATGACTTTTGTGCCACCCTGTATAATATGCTAGTCTCCATGAGTTGACCCCCCTCAAAAGAGAGCTTTGTTTGAATCTGGTTCAACACGTTCCCTGCAGAGTGACCCACCAGTGGGTTACTCTGCAGGGAAAGACTGAAATGAATGCTGTCATGAATTTTCTAACCTTGAAGGAATCAGTTTCTCAGCAGATCTTTAGGCGACTGAGAGGATACTGTATTATTGACCCTACCCTGCAAGATCAATTAGGAAAATGATTCCTTCATGGTTAGAAAATTCATAACAGCATTCGTTTCAGTTTTAATATCCCTTCAGCATACCCCTTGGTAGCACATTGAAAAAGTTTCATCGAATCTTTCTATCATCGACAAATGAATTGAAAATTTTTCATTCATCATGAAAGACATCAGTCTTTCTATGAAAAAAATATGAATGGTGTATTACAACTGGAAGTGCCTTAGGCCGAAAACTTTCTGAACGCCCCCTTGTATGTAAAGATCATTCCTGACCATGATGACTTAATGTAGGTAACCAATTTTCAACCCCTTATTTTTCTTCATTCTCCCTTTATTAAAGGTAAAGATGCTGCCTAGATTCTTTGCTCTCAGTGAGGTCTGGTACTTCTAGTATTGAATCAGAAAATGAGAATCCTGCTCTCATCTTTCTGGGTTTCACAGAGGCAAATATCCCAGGAGTGGGAGAAGGGACTCTTTCATTTAGGGGTAGGGAGAGGCTCTTATGTTTTCTGGGTGTTACTGGTCTTTGTTATGGGTGAAAGCTAATCCCAGTACCCTACTGTTTCAAAAAAAAAAAGCTACATTGGTACAGAGCTGTTCTTGCAGGAATTTGATAGGTGTGAAGGTCTTTAGAGGTTTTACTTGTCAACCTTGAAACCTAGGTGTGTCATCCATTGTTTCACACAAGAAAATGATTTAGTGTGACCACATCCTTCAAGCTGTGGGTCCTCACAAGCGAGTCTGAGTCAATAGACCAGTTAAATTTTCCCTCAGTAAACTGGGTTGCTTTCTGTTGAATCTTTCATAGCATAGGTGATATGTAGGAATGTGAAAACCAATTTCAATGGTTTACCTTTCTTCAACCTCGACCCAACCTACCCACACCCGAGGAAGAAGCACACCAAATTTCATTCCTGTTGCTGCTCTTAGAGAGGAATACGAGACGGTTGAATTTTGTTGCTGGAAGGGGTTGAAGAAAGGTAATGGGCGCGGTAACGCCCATTGATAAAGAAAGAAAGAATTCATCATATCTCCTCCGATTTTGGTTAAAATTGGCAGTTTTTTTAGATCTGTTGAGAAATTATTTATGCCAAATGTCATCTTTCATGGTCTAACACTTTAGGCACAACAAATCGAATATTGCTAAAAGTTCTGATTGCCTTGTGGAAATCACTCAAGTGCCCAAGTTGTAGTACTTTCTCTGTTTTCCACTGCCCAGCAGTGACATTGTTGGGGGGGGGGGTAGGGGGGCCAGGGGGGACACATACCCCCACTTTGCACAAAAAAAGAGAGAATCATTAATAAAAAGGAAAAGAATCATGAAATGCTTGGTAATAGTGTAGCAGAGTTCCCATGAGATGTCCATGGGATGTGGATGTGTCCTGTAATGGACATCCCAGGACACACCAGGGATTATGAGAGTATGTATATTTGTAGTTTTTCAGATATGACGAACTCAACGGACCAATTGGTCTTGTAAGAGTGATGGAATAAATATTATTATTATTATTATTATTATTAGGCGTATAACACGAGTGTATTCCTTACCTTACGGGATGTCCTCTGGACGTTCCAGGGATTTCCACATCCCAGGATGATTCCATGACATCCATTGGATCTCATTTTGTTTCACATAAGATCCAAATGGTATGTCCCAGGGATGATCCCTTGCTACTTGGGTTAGTTATTCTTTCCTTTGTGTCACATTTCACACATACATGTGTTTGTGGGCAGGGGGGGGGGAAGTGGCTGCCCCACCCCCTGGCATCCCTGGGACAGGGCTTGGCACCCCTTTCTGCTGCCCTGTCTCCCTGACTCTTCAGCCAAAATATGCCAGACATCATGCTATGTTTTACTTACAACCAAAAGACTTTTCTATGGATGTTCACCACTTATCAGCAGTGTTGGGTGCATTACTTGTGAAAAGTAACTAGTTACAATTACAAGTATTTTGCCCAAAAAGTAATTAGTTACCAGTAGAATTACTTCTCACAAAAAGTAACAATAGTTACAAGTAGAAGTTACTTTTCAAGTTACTTTCCTGAACAAAAATTCTAATCTTTCTACAGCTTCTCCACTTCTCTGACAGTTCAAGCTGGATGCATGAACTAAAAGCAAAAATTACCCTAATTTCATGAAAATTTGATTTGATCATCACTTAACTGGATAAATTCTCATGCTCACTCTTTTCCCTGTGCCTCTTCCCTTTCCATGGACTACTTAACAGGAATTATATGCTGATTGACAGAATGCACCCTTTAGTTAAAAAAAGAAGCCAATTTTGCCATTGGTGATGGGGAGACCTACCCCAGCCTGCCCCTTATCATGAGTTCCAGATAGAAAAATAGAAAAAATCAGAATCATGTTCTCTTGTTTTTCCTTAACCAGATATGGACTGCATAAATCCAGTTTATTGAAGAAGAATTTTCACTAGCTTTTTACAATGTAATGGTAATTTTAAGGCGCAATCAAGGAGATGAGGGTGTTTCAACCATGAAATATGAGGGATTGTGTCTTAGGTGTTCGTGTTAAAAATGGTACATATTCACTTGCAAATTACTGTTTATTAAGTTAGGCTCTCCACTTTGAAGTGCAGTTGCTAGGCCTGAGTATTAATGGAGTCTAACTAATGATGGATTGTTGGGAGAGTGCTAAAATGGGGCACTTGAAATGTGGAGAGGCAGCTAGGGTATATCCACCTGCCAAGCCTAAAGGGGATCAGACAAGGTGGAAGAGAGAGGTGCCAACAATAAGCATATGAAAGGTTTCCGTGCAGATGCACTATCAGAACCAAAGCAATGCCTATCATTCCGATCTAACGTTAGACCAAAGGTTGTCTGTATGGAGTCAGGACATGATGGAACTCATTTAGACATGCTTTCTCAAGTTAGATGCTGAAGTTCCTGCGACGGAAAGTACCTTGGCCATCAGTAAACATAGAGTACTTCACACAAAAGTTTGCATCAATGCAGTCACATATTTTGACTGAAGGGTCGGGATGGGGTGGGGGGGAGCAATAAAGCCAAACCCCACCCGAGGATCGGGAGAGAAAAGTATTACCTCTAAGGTGGGGCTAGGGTCTGTCCCAGAGATGCTTGGAGGTGGCTATCCCCATAAAATATGCCACTGCATCGATGGAACTCTAGAATTTGTTTCTGACCTGCACATCGAAGTATTTTTGCAGGTATGGCCAAGAAACCTGCACTGAATAAACCATGTTTTCTAAGGCAATTTCATGTCCCCATCTTTCCTCCCAATATTGCATCAATTAGGATGCATGTGGCCATGAAGTGTTGGTTGATTTCAGCAAATTTAGTAAATAATCAAAAAAAGGAATACGTTACAGTAGCGCCACATACTTTAGCCATGAAAAAGGAACTAGTTACCAGTTCTGTTACCCTCCCCTGAAAAGTAACTCGTTACCTTAAAAGTTACTGGAAAAAGTAATTATTTACTGTAACATGTTACTTTTACTTCATTACTGCCCAACACTGCTTATCAGACATGATGCCATTAGCCCATTGCACTTAATATTATAATGCAGGTAAAATTTATATATGCCCTATAATTGATAATATATGAATACATATATGGTGAGTACTGGGTGAGACAAAAAAATTGCTCTGCTCTTTGAGATTTCATTGTAGTTCATGAGATCAAAGATACCATGGCATGTTTTTTTTTGCAATGACTTCTACACATTCTTGAAACGTCCTAAAATCCTTGTTTGCTTTTCTCTAGCCATTTTAGCACAAGAGCAAATACATGAAAGTGACTAATTTTATTTTTGCATGAGAAAACAAATCAGTGGAAGAGTAGTTGGTAGGCATGGAGTGCACAAATCTCGAGCCAGAGCTCCACCATCTTCCCATGAAAATGCTGCTCTTTGTGAAAGGATGGGGTAGGCAAAATTTTGCAAGAATTTAAGGTAAAGGATTAAACAAATACAGTGGATTCTGCTTTATTGGGACACGTTGGTTCCAGGTCGCCTTGCCCCAATTAAGTGGCTGCCCCAATAAAGCAAAGTTGCCATATTGTAAAGAATTATGAGATACCCATACACAAATGTCCTTTATCTGCAAAAAAAAAAAAACAAGTTATGTTTCAAGGAATTTGTCCATAGTTCCTTGTTTCATGTCTGAAAATCTTTTCTAAAGACTTTTCCAGCACAAGTGTCAAGAGCACCATGTGCTGTATTGCCCAATCCTTGCTTAATAAAGTTGCACTGAAGGATGTCCACTGAGCACCTGGCCTCAATGTGAGTCACCTTTGGTAAAGCCTCAGGCTCCTTGTCTGTGTCATCCCCCAAGCCAGGCCTTCTGGCAAAAATTTCCTCAACTGCATCGGCTTCGAAGTCATCACATTTGGCGAAGCATGGTGCATGTTCGTCGAAGTTGACTCGGGCTTCTCCGTTAGTGACATCAAGAATGACCGAACCTTCCTCAAAGGTTGACGCTGCCACCTCTGATCCAGAATGAAAGCCAGCCCTACAGAAGCAGTTTGCAATGGTCTCTGACTTGACAGCCCACCAGCTCTTAACCGCAAAGCGAACAGCGTCGAGGAGCGAGAACTCACGTCGATGGCCACGGACGACGGTCTCATTGGGTTGTCTTCGATAGCTCCAAGAGTCATCTGCACAAGTTCCTTCCTATAATGAGTCTTCAGCTTCTTGATGACACCCTGGTCCATCGGCTGGATGATCGACATTGCGTTCGGGGGCAGGAATTCGAGTCATATCTTATTCAATGTTTCTTCAACGTGCAATTTAACCTTGTCCAGGAGCACGATCTTCTAACAGAGGGATAAATCCTTGCGCTTCGACATCTTGAACATTGATGTGGACTCCAATCCTGGACAGACTGCTTAAATCCACCACAAATGGAAAACCCCACCCAGGACAACTGCCTAAAATCCCCAGGAAAAAAAAACAAAAAAAAAACTGAAAACCCATCCCAAACTAATAGCTCAAATTCACAGAAGAAACAGGAAAACCCATCTCAGATCGACGGCTGCCCCCCCCCCCCGACCTTGCCCCAATAAAGTGGATTTTCATCCCAAATATGGGGCAAAATTGTAATCCAGTTGCATAGAAATGATTCCGTTCCTGACAAAATGTCCCGGTAAACCGGCTGCCCCCATTAAATGATGGTCCAATAAAGTGGAATCCACTGTACGTGGTCTGACAATAAAATAACAAGACTGACAACAGTGTAATGCATGTGGCAACACTGGGTTACTGGCGATTGCTGTAACCTGTCAGCGCATGTCTTAAGTCTCTGCAGTAAAAAACTTGTCATGATACTTTTAGTGATTGCAGAGCAGTACCACTTTACCTAAAGCAGTGTTATGGGCAATCGTAAACAGAAAGGGTGATAATGTTATGAACAAAGAATCAACATGAAATTTCTAATCAAACCCGGGGGAAAAACCAACTGAAGTCTTTGAAATGTTGAACTTTGTTAAAATCAATTGTACTGTCTCTCAATAGAGAGATACATAGTTCTTCGACAATCATTCTGACAATAAGACGATGATCACTTTGCACCAGAGTTCTCACATTTTCAATGTTTTAATCTGATTTTGAAGTTGTTGGATGTCCAGATTGTCTGTGAAACTCAACTTCTTCCCTTCCTTCAGAAAAGTGTTTGCAACTTTCAAAGACATTTTGCTCTTGGCATAACCTCATCTCCGTACACTTGTTTAAACATTTAGAAGACTTCAGTTGGTTTTTTCCCTGAGTTTGATTAGAAATTTCTCGTTGATTCTTTATTCATAATATCATCACCCATTTTTTTTACAAGTGTCCCTAACACTAGGTAAAGTGGTATTGCTCTGCAATCACTAGAAGTATCACAACAAGTTTGTTACTGCAGAGACTTAAGACATTCACTGACAGGTTACAGCAATTGCCAGTAACCCAGTGTTGCCACATGCATTACAGTGTTGTCAGTCTTGTTATTTTATTGTCAGACCTTGTATATGCCTATTGTTAAGAGATTGGTTCACAAACTGCAAGGAACAGGATATCTGAGAGGAAACAAAGCAGCAGAAAACTAAAATTAGCTGGAACTAGAACAGCTGAAGATAACTAGCCAAATATTTTTGAATGCTCAAAGGATGCAGAGAGGTGTGTATGAAAGTAATTTCATAGTTCTAGCTGCTGCTTCAGAGGTGCCGCAAAATTTCAGTATATGGTCATATATGGCCATATAGAATCATACACCCTGTCATATATATGGAATTTTCACATGTGTGTATCCCATCATAATGTCATTCATTAATAAGAAGGTTTCTCATCAAAGTAAGTATTGCGAGAAGTTAGACTGTTAGAGTTTTTCTTCTTGCATCGGTAGAATACTCAAGAGGGATAATCTCAGGTTGCTTGAATGGAAGATGAAGTCAGTTGGTGCAGTTGTTGACATGTCAATGGTGATAGAATATCAGGCTTAGGTGAGGAGGTGAAAGTAAGATATCTTGGCTTTGGTCTCAGTGAAAGCGGAAGAAGTGGTACCTGGTTGCCGACTTCCCCAAAATTTCAGTGGTGAATGGATCAATACAGCCAACTTGGATGCAGATGTGTCTATCAACCAGACTCATATTGTGGAAATCTATTATCCGGATGAGGGGAGGTATAGAGAAACCATATATGTGTGTCGGGAGCAGAGAGGTCGTCGCTACATGATGGCTCGTCTTGGCATTGATGGATGGTGAGACCCACATTTCTGCATCTTTATGTTTAAGTCATAACCATGAAATGATTACTGTTCTGGAGTCAAGTTTCCTTTTCTTTGGTACATCCTGGAGTGAAACACTTGGTGATGGATCATCACCAACCAGTGTTGGAGCATGTTAGAGTTAGGAGACTGAGATTTTGCATGATGTCACCTTTTAATATCATTGAACAATGTGACTGATCACCAATTGCAAACTGTGATTCTTGTCCTATATTTCTGATGTTCTCAGTTATGTTGGACCAATTTTAGCATGATCTATCACTGGATGGTGATCCATCACTTAGTGCTGAACCCTATGCTTCAAAAATGCAGGGTGACCAGGTATCAACTGGCCTCATATCTTTGGGGAAAAAAATGGTTCCAAGAGTTCCACTGACCCTATTCTCTTATGGATTTTTATTGCCCAAGCTGCATTTTGCCATACAAGGCAAAACTTCTATTGGACAAAACAGATTTTTTTTAGCATTAGATACTAGAAAGTAAGTTAAATTTTTTCTTTTGATGTTTTTCTGAATTGGATCATTACTCCTGGGTGCATTAGCTTCCTACAAGTAATGCCAGAAATTCACAAAAGAAAAGAGTTAATAGAAACATGCATGTTTTTGCTGAATTGTAACCTTTCATGGATTAACTTGCAGAAATAATTGATAAGGTGACCCAAAATATTTTTTTAACTGTATGCTTTTTTGACAAAATGCAACGTGAGTTATCTGTAGATAATATACAGGATATCACATCCAGCATGTGTAGGTGATTTCATGAAATTTTCAGTGAAATTGATCCCAAAAAACTTGAGTAATAGCTATTTTTTCAAGGGAAAGTAAAATAGCAAATGTATCAGTATGTGAACCCTGAATTCTTGCTCTGCACTTAGTGGGACATGCCATACCAGTCCAGTGGAGTTTCCCAACACATTGGACACACTTGCTCATTTGACTGTGCAGGAAGAAAGCTGTTACTTGAGTTCTAAAAAATTGATTACATTTAAATTTTCAGAAAACCCTTCTATATATTTTAGATGTGATACCAGGTGACCCTGAAGAGTTCTCATATTTACTTGCCTGCTCTCAAAGCAACATTTGAGATAGCAGTAGGATATTTACATGGTGTCACATTGAACAAGTTTTGGCATTTCCCAAAAATGTTAATGAAATTAGTCATGTACAATCCCAGTAATAGCAATTTTCCCCCAAATTTCAATTGAGTGTCTATCTACCTGTGGAATTAAACTTGGGTAGAGCAAGCCCCATGTGTGGATGTGGTAATTAGGACTCGCATGCCATCAAATTCTCTATTTATGTCATTGCATGAAGAAATAGCTACTCAGATTCTAAACAAACAAATTGCTTAAATTTGTATGCATTCGTCTTCCCAAGCTGGAGGTCACATCCTGTACATTTCCTGCTGATACTCAGTATGGTCTTTGCAATAAAATTTGTTGTACCTTAGTCATGCACAGAGTAAATTTTAACAGCTCAGGACATTTTCTGTTTTGGTCATAGTTTAGTTTTTTCATTGGTCAACCTATACACCAATATAAATTTACATCCACACTGACTGATTTTGTTTATTGTAAGGGTTTCTGGCTATTTTCAAGACTCATTGTTAGCAGGTTGCTAATGAGGCACACCTGCTTTGGTCATAGCCTTGGAATACTACTTACAAAAGCTTGTGTTTGTATCTAATCACTACTTGCATGGGCAGGAGGGACAGGTCCTACTCCTCTTTCCCTTATAGGGCCTATGGGAATTTTGAAGTGATTCATGACTAACACCTCAATTGATAACTGATCTAAAAGTTTATATTATTTTAATATTTTAACTGAAGGGGTTTTTCTCTTATTCCTGCCATGCTTTGCCATTCTCATGGATTGCAGCCAGAAGGACTTTGTATGCTTTGAATTCATTCCCCGGCATCACAACGTGATTCGCTATCGCAAAGGTACTAACCTCATTCAAGAAAATTTTCAGACTGTATGTTCTTGGGTACAGTTTCCCAATAAAGAAGGCTGGCTCTACAAGATTCTTCTTGGTTAGTACCTTTCCTCTTCTGTTCCATCTCTCTCAATTTTCCCTTGCTATCTTTGACATCTTGAGGTTGTATGTGACCCTGTTATAGCCAAGAATCCAGTCCCTGTACGCTGTCCAGTGGCAGGGAAATTCAAGTTTGAGCAGAAAGGTGATGTTCCCTTTGAGACAAGGATCCTTGGTGGTGTGACTCAAAGCCCTCGACCAAACACATACTGCAAGGAGAACATTTCTGATTTCTCTGTCTGCGATATTGATCAGAAAGACCTGCTAATTGATGAAACCTATTGTCTCTCTGTTGATTATCTTGGCCGACCTGTGGACATCTACAGTGGGTTCTCCTCCACCATTCCATCACTATCTGAACTGCAAATCCTTATTCATGCTAAATTTCATGCAGGTGATCCTGATTACAAGATGAAGTGCATTGGCTTTTGGAAGGAGAATCTCAAGTCTTATCTGATTACATATGATGAACTGGATGCCTTTTCAAAGTACCGTTGTTGGGTAAGTGTCTGTCTGGATTTTTTTCTCTGGGATCAATTCTGAGTAAGGAAAAGAATATATGGACATGAGAGGTTTTCTTGGTATTTGTTTTAATAGGTATACCAAAGAGCAGACATCAATCGAGTGCTGATGTCACGAGCTGTGGGATCCCTTTGTTTCTTAAATCAAGATGTCACTAGCTGGAACTATACGGAAGGTGCAGCTGTTGCACTTGCCATGCAGGAATATGAACGAGAACGTGAGCTACTCCTTCATTCTTTCCTTCTTGTTGCCTTAGAGAGTGAGGGGAAGTCGGTTGATTTGACTTCACCATGGAAATATAGTGTGTAATCTTTCCCTTCTCTTTAGAGAGCATTTTCATTGGAAGAGATAGCTGAAAGAATTTTTGTGCAAACATACAAGATAGAAGATGCTACTTGTTGAGAGCCTTCATTGCAGCTAACTTGTTAGCATCTTTGGGAAAAGTTATTAACTGCAGTTTTTTAATTTTGAGTACATGAATATTTGTTGTATTCTGTTAAAAGTTTTTGACCTGATTGGAAAAGAATGGCAATGTCTATTAGATCAATTGCGGTCACTCTTGCATATTTTATTGGGTGACTCAATAGAGACTTACAGTAACAAATATCCCAGAGAGCCTATTTTCATTGGGCCAAGCATGACATATCATTGGCAAAGTGCTTGGACTAACCTTGGTCACCAACAATGATCCAATCCTGAAGTGTTTCATTGGCTAGAGGAAGGCCAATCAATTTAACCATGTGTGGCCCTATATTGGCAAAGTCTTTGGACCTTTCTTGGCTGCTAACATTAGCCCAAGATATATCCAAGGAACATTCAAAAAGTTCTGGGAATTTCCTAAGTGTACAAAAGTAAATTAAGCTTTACCTATTTTGATCAGAGGTTTTAGATAAAGGCTTACCTTGTTTATTATTTAATTCAGTATTGTTGCCTGAATATTCTCCTGAGCAGAGTTATTCATCTCAGTATAGTTGTATTTTTCGAAGTCATGGAAGACATGATGAAAGCTCAGCAAGCGATTGTCTTCTTTTTGTGGAGAGAAGGTGCATGCTGGTTCTGAAATTGTTCAGAGGCTGCAGGCTGTCTTTGGAGAATCTGCAGGATCGAAGAGTACCATTTACCGATGGCTGGAGAAGTTTAAGGATGGTCGCTAGACCTTAGAACATGACCCTCACAGCAGTTGTCCTCAAACGGCTACCACCAATGAAAAAATTCACATTGCAGAAAATATTCTCATGAAAGATTGATGAGTTACTGTTCAGGAGTTTGCTACTACCCTGGGAGTCAGCACCGGCTATGCTCATGAGATTCTCCATGTACATCTTGCCATGACTAAGGTTTCTGCCTGATGTGTGCCTTGCCTGTTGGGGCCTGAACAAAAGGTTGATCGAACATGTCGAGAGCTGCTTCAACTTAGCCAAGAATACAAGGAGAGTATTTTCGACTGTATTATCACTGTAGATGAGATGTAGCTTCCCTACTTCAATCCTGAGACCAAATCACAATCTGAGTGGCGCTGGTCTGAAGAAGGACCTCCTTTGAAGGCTCGAACTGCTCCCTCTTTGGGGTTACGGTTTTCTAGGATTGCAAAGAGATAATAATGATCGACTACTTACCAAAAGATACCACAATGAATGCAGAATACCATTCCAATCTGCTTTTGGCCCTCTCCGACAGACTCTTATTGAAAAACGTCCTGGGATTCATGGCTACTTCTTCAGGAGGACAATGCAATGCCCCACACCACGCGCTTTACTAGAGCCGCCATAGCAGAAATGAGTGGGATATTGCTCCTGCACCTGTCGTCCTCACTAGATATGGCTCCCAGTGATTACCACCTCTTTGGCGAGATGAAGAAGCCTCTGCGGGGCGTGCATTTTGATTCCCTCAATGCAATGAAAGTTGCACTTAACAGATGCATCAGAAACACTCCATAAAAAAATGTTTCTGATGCTCTAAGGAAATTGATTCTGCACTGGAGGAAGTGCATTGAACTCAGGGGGGACTGTTGAAAAGTCATAGCATAATGGTGATGAATAAAGAAGTTAACCAGAAATTATAAAGAAATTCTTAGAACTTTCTGAATCCCCCTTGTATATCTCATACCTGCCAGATATTGGCCAATGAAAAAATTTTTGTGGCCACTGGCTTGATGAGGTTGTAGAGACCTGTCAAGGAGGTCCTCTCTGCTCTCACAGTGGAAGAATTTATCAGATGTATCTAGCAGTGCTCTGGAAGAATGTAAAAGTGTCTTATGAAAGATGGAGAGGATTTATGGTAAGTTTTGGAGCTACAATGACGATGAAATAGAACACTTGTTGCTAAAACTTTTCGTGTGCCCCTCATATTACATCATTGGTCATGACAAAAATATCCAAAGACTTGTAGCTGAATGTAGCTGTGTTGAACAATTTCAATGCTTTATTTTGATGGTATCAAAGTTGGCATCAATCTTGCTGCAAAGCAGCAAGGATTTGTGGGCAGGAAAACACTTTCTAAGCACAATCCTCCTGGAGAATGTGATGGACATATTTTGACTGGGAGTGTAATTGACCGGAGATGCCCTTTCTGCATGACGAAGTCCCTTGTGTCAATGCCAATGCTACCCAAGATCTCCTATTGTAGTGGTCCCGCACACGGTGTCCGGTCAATTCCCCGAACGGTCAGTTCCCCGATCACGTTCCGATCTCACTGTCGCGGAAGGAGGGCTATCGACCGCATCCATCTCCTTCATGTCCAGGGGTCAATTTATATTGATAGTTCACGCCCTTGTTTGTCTCTGAAGAGGTACAATGATACAAATAACGGAACAACCCTACTAGATAAAAGTTTTATTCTGGTTTAATGGTGAAAGGTCTACAAATGAAATGTTTTCTCTTCATAGTAACTCATATTATAGGCAACACTACGCACCAACTCTTGTAGGTCGTCTGCGGTTGAGTTCTGAATCCCTGCCTATCTTTGTACTAGGGTTTTCAGACGTCGAACTACGTCCAAGTACATCTTCCTTGGAGGAGAGGGAGCACCAGCGATTCGCTGGATGATGCTCACTTCGTGCTTATTGTTCTCTTCCTGTAGTCTCCCAAGATAGGTGAAGAAATTCAGGTGTAGCCCGTCACAGTTTTTTTTATTATAGGAAACTGGAATTGAAGCCTTCCATGGCATTTGTTGTACGTGGAAGGTCCTGCAGGACACGATTGTAGTTGTTCCAGAGACCTGGTTCGAACAGAGGTGGTATCCGACGGTTCCCTCTCATCACCCGTCCGATATAATTATCTTCAAAGTAGCTCAGTACAGGCAGTGCTGCTTTTGGCATAGTGGCTACAAGGTCGTTGAATGCATCTTCCACCTTTGCTGGTGGCACAAAGCTGAGTGCAGGAAGGGACTTCATTTGCAGGCAAAATTCAGGATCATTTTCATAACGTGGCTTCAGACCTGAATCTTGAATCTTTCTCCATACGCTTTGCACGAAATGGAAATGACAACCGTGCAACTGCACACCTGGAAACACGCGCTCCCGGGCATTCTGAGCAGTCTTCTCAAAATCAGTTGTAACACTCTGGGGTGCAGCAATTCCATGCTGAAAATGAAGGTGCTCCAGCATCCTGGTGTACAATCGCTCTTCTTTCCCTGGTAGAAGAGTGGGATGATTTCTCCATGAAAACGCCCGTGAATGCTGTACATCTGCATGTATTGCCTTGGAGTTGTCTTGAAAGCGCCATCCATGTACCAATCTTGGCATGCGGATAAGAGCCGCAAGTGTTCTCAGTCGTTGAAAACATGAGTATCCGGTCGGCATCTTGGCTGTCTCTAATAAGAAGCGTTGTGGCGCTGCAGAGATGGTGTTTTCGTACGCAGTCGAAATCACAATCTGAGCTCTTGTTGGGGGATCATTGGGCACGTTCTCCTCCCGATGACGGCGCACCTGTCGTGCGAGTAACTTTGCGTCTGGAAGGGCTACTTGGGCCTCGGTATTCAGTCCCATCAAATTCGCCTGTAGAACCTGCCCTGGAATGATGCGATAAGAGCAATCAGTTTTTGCCATCGGCTTGCTTCAAGGCTTCTAGTCGTATGATAAAACCAAATTTTCATATGCAATCCCTCCAATAAACGGATCCTGGTAAGTAATATGAAAGCATACTCGGAATGTACAATATAAATTTAACATTTTTTATCTTCATATTAATCCCAAACGCGCGCTGACGTATCGATACGGAAGTATTTGTGAAAGAGACATTGAATTACGAATTTTTCTTTAGAAAAATTATCAAGTGGTTATACAATTGTGACCTCGACACTGCGTGATTGATTCCTTTGAAAAGGCTGGATAATATGTTCGGGAGTGGAAATGAAATAATAATACACATGCACTATGTTATTGGACTAACCTGTCTTCTGTTGCGTGCTCTTGGCATCATTCACGATGTTTGCGATCACCTTGCGGACTTGTAATTTTCCAGGTTCTGGAGCATGATGATGTTGCCCTCACCTGCTGACAACCTGCTTTCCTTCATTTGTAGCTCTGAAATTGCTGTTTCCTTTGTATCTTCTATAGAGGCACTCCCAATACGTTCTTCGTCCGTCCTTGCTGATCTTGTTCTGTGTGAGCAGATAGCCCTCAAGAACAAGAAGATTCTTGCCCTTTTCGCTCTTCACGAACTCCATGAATGCACGAACTCTCACACTGTCCAAGAACTGACCACTTAATGATCTGATTCCTAAGCCACCCAACTTCTCCATATATAGCCATATAGTTTTAGATTTTGATAGACATCTTGTCGATCGTCTCATCTCAGACGACCGAGAGGATTATCTTACAACTGTTTCTGTCGCCTTTTTCATCTTTATCAATGATCTGACTGGCATTGTATCAACAGTCAAGTTCCCTAAAGCAACAAAGTTTCCTTAGGTGGGAGGCGAAGAATTTAATGATTTCCTCCCCTCCAGGATTAGAGAAGAAGCGACTTTCCCCTTTCCTTCCGTTTGCCTAGACCCCCCTCCCTTTGGTTCCGGCTCGGCAGGGGGCGGCCCCCCCTTCACTCCCCCATGCATGATGTGCGAGACAGGAAACTAAATGGGAACAAATCTATTTCCTTTGGGGAAATCCCAAACGGGGAATTTGTCATTTGGGGAACTGTCCTGTCGGGGAAATAACCATTCGGGGAATTGACCGGGAACCCCCGCACATGGGGTCACCAATGTAGGATGGTTGTGACGTAGGTCGGAGCCTCGATGGCTCGTTCCGTACTCGGAGGGGGGTGCGAGGCTAATCAGAAGGTATCAGGAAGGTTGCGGTGTTCGGAGAGGTCCGTAAGAGAGACCTCTGTGATCGGCAGAAGAAAACTCGTCTATTTGGTATCGACTGACTCCAAGGTGTAGACTCCTTTGAATTACTTAGGATTCCAGGCTTGTATTAAAAGGTGCGTAATTGGACACTACGCGCAGTTTATTATATAATAAAATAACAGGGATAAGTGGATGAGGTTAGTAACAATGAATAGCCTCACGCTGATTGGGGGACCTCAGGGTCGTCCTCGTCCTAGTTGTCCGGTGGGTGACCACCGTCACCACGGTTCTTCAATAGTCCGCACTGCCCTGTACGGCAGATGCGTGCAGGCTCGACACGGCTTCATGGGCACCGTCGATGCGTCCACTTACGATGGCTCTCGGCGACCCACTGCCGGGAGTGCCCGGGGAAAGTGGGACGTAGGCTCTTACGTGAGCGTAGGAGGGAGGAGGTTCTTCCCCCTGTAATTGTTACGTTCTTCCTTGCGGGGCTCGAGGAGGGTTCCACACTATGTCGAAGTGGAGTCAACTTTTTGGAATCAGTTGGTACATCACGTGATTTGAATGTAGCAGGATGCTTTGGATCCACCCTGAATGATGAAGTTGGGGTGAAGAAAGGGTGCTTTCAGAAGAGATGGAACTAACAAATTCTCCAAGCAAATACAGGGTGGTCAAAAAGTTCGTTGACTTCAGATTATTACATTTTTCTGAAGCACAAAAAAGTTTTGCAAAAACAAATTGAACAGACGTGAAAAACAACATCTTTAGACTTCTATGTGCTACTTTTCACTCAATGTGGCCCCCTTTAAATCGGACACAGGCAGTCAATCTCCCTGGGAATGCATCCACCGCAGCGCGTAGCATATCCTGTGGGATCTTCTCCCATTCCTTCGTGAGGACACGCTTCAGAGATGCGACGTTGTCGTAGGACCTGCAGCACACCTTGGTCTCCAGAATGCCCCAGACGGCGTAGTCCAGAGGGTTGAGGTCTGGGGAGTATGACGGCCATTCGTCAGCAGTGATCAGGCCGGGAAATTGGTCGCGGCACCATTTCTGAACATGACGGACTTTGTGGGACGGCACAGAATCTTGTTGAAAGATCCATTCTCTGCTATGGAAGTGTCTCTCAGCCCAAGGCTTTACGACGGCCTGGAGCAAGTCGCGCTTATAGACTTCAGCATTGATTTTCAACCCCCAATCAATGAAAATCAATCGCGTTCGCCCATCGGCAGTGATCCCTGCCCAAACCATCACACCAGCAGCCTTCTGCTTCCGAGTCACGCTTCGATCACTTGGAGATAGAGTTCATGGGTCAGTAGACCAATTCCAATCATTTTGGCTATTTAAAGCGTGCTCGGTGGTGAACAACTTCTCATCAGAAAACAGGATAAGTCGGTGTTTGTTGCCTGCGAGCCGGCGTTTCAGATTTTTGCATCTGATATCCCTGTTCTTCTTGGCGGTTTCGTTGAGGAACTGCGGTTTCTTCATCTTGTAAGGATGGGCATTGATATCATTTTTCAAGATGTTCATCGTCGAGGATCTGCTGATTCCGAGCTCAGCGGCTAGTTTTCGCGTCGACCTTCGGGGATTGCAAAGAATTCGATCCCGAACTCTTTTGATACTGCGGGGGGTTACAGCAGTGCGTGGTCGACCAGATCTCGGTCTGTCATCTAGGTTCTGAGTCTCTTGAACCACTTGACCGTTTTGGAGACCAGCTGCTTTGACACTCTGGACGAGGTAAATGACCGAACAATGTCACAATTCCGATGACCGACCTGATGGAGCTCAATTATGGCAGCTGTAATTTTTTTCATGCTAAAATACAAATTTATATTATCTCATTAGGACTTTTGGTGATAATTTGGTTTTCATAACACGTAAGCAGATACAAAAAAACTAGAAATAGTGGCAGTAACACTTTATTTGACTTCATCAGAGCGCGTCAAAAAAAGTCAACGAACTTTTTAACCACCCTGTACTCATTGAATCTTGAATGCAGTGCTTCATAGGCTGGAATTCATCATGGACTTGTTCTAGAGCTTTCTCGGATTTTACTCTCTGATTATCTGCCATGAGAGATGCCAGTGGTGGTCACACCAAATAATGACAAGGACTTTTTTTCATGCTCATGTGCCCATGATAGTAGAACACTCCTTGGTACAAGAAAGTATCTCACTCACTTGAGAAATAAGTTAGGCCTACTATACACTCTCACATCACTTTAAACTTTTAATTCAGGTGAAGCATCACTGCCATCACTGAATAAACTCATAAATGTCCTCATTCTAAATTCACTTTAAGAAGTCCTTATTCATGGATAAATGGCTACTCATTTGTCTTCTGGATGACCAATCAGTTGACTTTATCTTGGTGTGTTTCTCTTCATGGCTACATTTCTTTGTTGCAGGTGACCAGTGTCCAATGTACTTTGATGATGGAGCTGATCCTTGGAGTGAGAGTGAGGCACATGTGAGAGTGTTCACATTTGGCAACAGTGCAAGCCCACCCATGTATCTTTCTACAATTATGATTCTCCTTGGCATGTTCATACTGTCCCAGTGATATCTGCATTCCCAGTGAGAATCAATGATTTCAGGCAGTTTATCATTCTGTCCAATATGTGCTTCTCTCTTATTTTTCTACCAATCATTTTTTATTTGGCATTTATACAATGTGGTATGAATGAAATGTAAGGAAGGCTGAGAGTATCTGCACAAGCAATTGGTTGTTGGACTCTGAAGAAACCAGGAAGCCT